GTATATGTATATATATGTATATGTATATATATGTGAAGAGAGAGAGAGATTTAAACTTGTAAAGGTAAAGTACCTCTGATCCTCTGCATTTTTATATAATAATGTATTTCACATTTAAGATTTATATCAAATTTATATTTAATAGTTTTGTTATCATTATTATGTTTAGCACCTAAAATATTTTCTTTAAAAAAAACAAAGTAAAATACCCTTTTTTTAAACTCCTGTTTAGTATCATCGTTTTGTTTTTTTTAAATTAATATTTACTTTCTTTTATGTTCTAACACAATTATCAGGGTATTTTTATTGATCAAGATTGTGCTTGTTTGTCTGTCAGCAAAATATCTCTTGAACCACTTGATTCCTTTAATTTTAGCAGCTGTGTGCCATTTGCTGAAGCATGTTAATGCTCAATAATCCAGGTAGAAAAATCTAACAAAGTTCAGTCAGGTCCTCTGGACGGTTTCTTTTTGTAGAAACGTTTCAACTTTCATCCAAAAAACTTCAACTTCTATGGATTATTGATTTTGAATCAGGATATTTTGAATCGTTGGACAAAACTGCTTCAAACAGGGGGGGGGGGGGGGGGGGAGACTACGGAAACCACCTGAGCACCATCAAACTGGTTAACCCACTATGTGAAGGTGCTATTTATAAGACTGAGTTTGTTGTGGCTCCTCGAACTGATGAAGTCTTTTGGATGAAAGATGAAACGTTTCAACAAGAAGAAACTGTGCAGAGGACCTGACTGAACTTTGTGAGGTCCCTCTGTGAGGAGCGCTGACGTAGCGGCTGTGAGTCTTTGAAATGAACTGCTCATCCGTTGAGTTTCTGTCTCTATCAGAGTGATGTGCTGTCATTGATAAGGTTCGCTGTAATGTCTGTGTCACTGAGAGCAGGTCTCTTTTCTTTCCTTCTTTCAGATTCTGTTAAAGCTGGTTCCTTATCAGCATCATCAGGTTGTGAATGGATCGGTGCTCTTAGCAGCCTTTGAGCACTATATGGTAAGAGCTGACCAGACTGCTGTTTCATTATCCAGAAGTCAAGGTTACAACCTTGAGAGGAGGGTTGAACATTGATTAGAGAATCAAATCACCTGATGTTATCTTCACCTCTTAATCAAGGATGTGACAACCATGAAACCCTGAGCTGCAAACCAGTCCACCACTGGCGTGACCTCCTCTGCCCAGCTCAGTCTGTCTGAGGCTCAACGGCACCGCATGGAGGGTGAAACTTGGTATTTTATAAATGGAAAATCTCCAATAAACAAATACTGTACATCCAAATAAAGTGGGAAGCGTTACACAGCTCCCGCTGAAGCACATGAGTCAGAGGGAAGACACGGCTACCAAACAGGAAGAGGAACCTGGAGTTCCATCACAACTCTGACGTAAATCCAGGAAACTATTGTTGTTGCAGTCGCTCTCCGCAGACGCCATCTGTTATCTGAGCACCAGAAATCTCAGCCCTGCACATTTTTTACTGATATGAACTTGATCAGGAAGTGAAAAACAGCAACAACAAAAAAAGAAAATTAAAATAAAGTGAAAGGCCTTAATCATGACCTGACTGAACTTTGTTGGATTTTCTACGTGGATTATTGAGCATGAACTTTGATGTTTTGAACCACCCTGGCTATGGCGAACCCCAGAAACCATCTTATGACAAGTAAACTGGTCGAACCACTATGTGAGTGTGCTGCTTGCGGGACTAAGTTTCTTGTGGCTCCTCGGGCTGATGAAGTCCTTTGGATGAAGGATGCAGTGTCTCAACAAAAAAAGAAACCATCCAGATGACCTGACTGAACTTTGTAGATTTTTTTTATTGAGCATGAACTTCGAAGGTCACAAGTAATTAAGCTTTTTTGTATTAATTTTAGGTTCTTCATGAAGTGTAAAGGGGCAGCATTTCTGCTTTCAAGTGATGGAAAAAGTAAAAGCAACGATGCAAAGGTTTTGTCATCTGAGTGTTTCTGGAAACAGACATGTGTTCTGAATACTGAATAAACTTAAGTTGGTAAAATAAAACATATATTGATTTTATGCTGACTGTAACAAAGTTTGGACATTTTTTACTCTGGGTTCAGAAACTTTTGAAAACATTTTGATCTCCTTTTTATTGTTTGAGTGTCGTCCGTTCTAACGGTCACTTCCATCCATTGTTTTGGATGTAGGTAGGAACCAGAACATTTTGCATCCTTCCAGTTCATGTTAGCAGCCGCACTAAGTTATGCTGATGCTTTGACAAAAGATTAGGTCGTCTTCTTGACTTGGGCTCTTGGCATGTTGGAGATAAAAGCATACCTTCACACAAATGTGATAAAACCCTCAACAGACCATTAACAGCTATAAATCTGTATTAGCTTGTTGTTGTTTATTCAAACATGAATTTTGGAAAAATTTACTACCGGTACTTCCTAATCGGAACTTTGAATTTTAAAATCTGCAGCATCTGCAACACTGAAAAGATTTTGCATCATCCTGACCCAGGTCAAAATGTGGAACAGACTGAAAGTTGGGATAAAACAATGTGCAAACATCAACCAGTTTAAAAACAAATAGAAAACCACCATTTTTATAGAGAAGCAGGGAATTAATGCCAATGTGTTGCATGAATTGTACTTTGTACTACTAGTGCTTAGTATTAGTTTAGCTTATTTCTTAGTTCATATCTTAGATCTTATAACTGATTTTCTTTACAATTTATACTTTTGTTGTATGTAACTGGGACCCTGTGTACACATTTTCGACAATAAAGAACCTTGACTTGAATGAAATGCAATTTTTTTCTCTTTATACAGTTTGGAACTTATATATAATAAGTTGGAGTAGGCGAACCTGTGATTGGAAGTTTGACTGTTCAATCCCCCGGGCTGACAACATCAAAATGTGGGTGGGAAAGAGTGAATCCATTCTTGCCTCCATCCTCATTTGCCCCACTCTGTGCCCTTGAGCAAGGCGCCCCCATCTGCTCCCACGGGCGCTCTAGAAAGCAGCTCTCTGCTCCACACAGAGGGCTGTGGTAGCTCAAGGGTCTGTGGTTATGTCGGGAAGGTTTTCCATTGTTAGAAACATGTCTTTGCGCGAACAATTCACCCTGAGGAAGGCAGCAGCTGGAAAATATATAAATATATACTTTTTATTAATGCCTATAGAAACCAGAAGCTTTGTTTGGTTGGTTTCCTAGCATTGCAGGGCATAACACATTTACAAAAATTGTGAACAGAATATTAAAGAGTGTGAAATGCTCATTAATTGTCACCATTTTAATAATTGTACAATATGTTTACTGCTCATAAAAAAATGCAATTATTATCTTTAAAGAAATCCGTTCACGATTTTTAGGACACAATTCCCTCAAATATACAGTAAAATGGATTGATTTTCACATATTGTATATTGCTTTGTGTGTTGTCTGTTGTTCTGTCTGTACATCACTTTGGTTGGCCTTGTAGCTGTTTTATGTGATCTATAAATAAAATGGTATATTTTCATTGAAACACTCTTTTCTACTGCATTTGCTTACTTTCCATTTATCAAGTTTCTATACCAGTGGAGAAGAAAGATACTACAGCATGAAGTTAATAATAAACATTAAATGGTAGTGCTCCATTTGTGCCACTTTTAATCCAATTAAAATCTGAGTTTCTTAGTTCATTTGAGAGCTTTTACTCAAGGGAGTTTCCCTTCCAAATATGGCGGACCCGTTGCCGTGGAGACAAGCCCAGCCTACTTAGGGGCGGGCTCTTCCGGGAGCTCGTGCAGTCTACTGTCTTATGACGTAAAATGAGTGGGCGTTAATGCCGTCCTCCTCTCTCCTCCTTGTCCCACCTCACGTTGTAACGTACAAAAGTAGAGCTGGTTCAATTCGTGTAATTTCCTGGCTACGGTCGTCGGACCAGAGAGCAGAACAAAAAAAAAAAAAAAAAAAAGAAATGACAGAAAGCTCTACGGCCAAGCTGCTAAACGGAGACGCCTGTCACCCGACGTCAAATGGAAAAAATCACGCGAGTAAAAATGGCTACGTGAAGAACCACTGTCTGTTCCAACAGTCACAGAAGTACCATCGCCTCGGAGCAAAGGTAAGGCCCGACCGCCCAGCGTTGGAGCGGACTTTGAATTAAATTACACGTACAGCATAATAATTTGTTTAACAGCGTCGGTTTACGAGTTTTTATTCATATTTCCCGTTCATATCGCGGCTAAACATTCTTGTGTGGGAGTGGTTTTCCTGAGCAGGCTGTCGGACTGAGAGCAGCTAAGGCGCGGCTACAAGTCAACAATTTAAATAGTTTTCAACTGTTTATCAGTTTTAAATCAGCTTCTAAATGTCTTTAACCTCCATATTGGTTTATAATGCCACCATATCATCACCTAAGTAATGTCATTAGCTTCTCCTTTTGACGAATTATTACATTTCTATCCTTTAAAATGTTAATTAAATGCCATATTTTACACTTTTCGCTGGGCAGGAGTGCGACCCAAAGGTCACCCTTTATGCTGTTTGTGACCATGAAACCTGATCAGGGATGGTTGTAGTGGTGACATTGTTTTTTCCTGTAACTTTACACCCTGTTGTTTCCATGCTCTGTGCGTGTTGGAGTTGGACAGGTCTCTGTTTACTGACTCTGGTGTGGGGGAAGAGGGACCAGTCTGCTGTTGTGCGAGCTAAAGGAGGTGTCTGTTCCCATGGAGAGGATGTGCTTTCACATGTCAGATTCTTTGGGACAACATTTGGCTTTAGGTGTGGTCCCTTACGGCTGGATTAAAAATCATAAACATAGGTGTGTATGATATGTGGAGGAGAGGCAGGGCACGTTTTATTTCTCCTCCCAGGCTTTTTGTCTCCAGTAGAAATTAAAGACATTAAAGAGAAGATTTCATAGTACAGCACGGAGTTGGTTTGAAAACCAAAAGGATTCATTAAATCGGGGCTATAATGGTAAATGGACTGTACTTTCTATCTTATCGAGACACTCGAAGCTCTTTACAACACAATCTGCGCCTCATTTACACATTCATGCAGCACTCTATAGATCTATACAACGCTAATTGAACAAATCATTCTAAAGAGACTAATCGGTGCTTTTTAGATCACATTCATACACCGATGGGACACACATTAGAGGCAATGATGGACTGCATGTGACTGCTGGTGGAATCGAACCCCCAACTCTTGCATTGGAGGACGACCGCTCTAACCACTCAGCCACAGCCGCCCCAATAATAATAATATGTGGCAGCGAAGCGAATTATTATTGTTTTATTTGACCAGAAATTAAAACTTCACATCTTGTCAGAGTAAACGCAACCATCAAGACAGTGCTGAGAAACTTTAATGTTAAAAATAAGAATTCATTCTACAAGCTAATTATTGTCCATGAACAAATCTGCATTTTGTGTCTTGTAGTTTGAATTTAACATGAACTTCTATTCAGAGACGATGTGTTTTTGGCCTAAACTGGCATTCTGTACGAGTGTCCACTATTTAAATTGTTTGGAGCTTTTGAACAATTTGAATCTGAAAATAATAAAAAAAAATACTGTCGTTGATTTTATAGTTTGAGGCATCTGTGTTGAAGTGACCAGATTGATGATCCAGTCGAAAAGGCCAAAATAAATAACCGCCATCTTTAAACAGTCTAATTTTCTTTTATTGTGTAAAATTTAAGTGCAAACACAATGTCAGGCTTTTATTTTACTGTCACACATTATGATGTCTCCAAACCGAGGTCGTTCAGGGAGCTGTTAACCACAGACGAGGTAATAATTGTTCATAACTTTCCCACAGAACCTATTTCAAAATGTCTGAAATATCTGTTTAAGCCTGGATCTTTGTCCTAAATCAGTTGTTTACTTTCTTCCCTTCTTGTTTAATACTTTAAAATGTTTAATTTGATCATATTTGGTACAATTTAAAGAGTTAAAAAGTCACATTTTTAGTTTAACAGTTACAAACTAGTCTCCCTTAATGCACGTCGTCTTCCACCTTGCACGCCAAAAAGCCAAAGATCTTTCAGGATCTGCGTCCTGTGTGTTGGGATGACTCTCGGCTACTACCACACCAAATTTCAGCTCAGTATCTGAGAAAGTGACCGAGCTATAGCCATTTTGCTGTTGTGGCGGCCATCTTGAATAGGATTGACTCCAAAAGTTAATCGGCTTGCTTCAGCTGCTTCGTTAAATTCCTCGTGTAATATTTTGTTAACAGACAGACGGTGATCTTTGCGCTGACGCAGCATTTGTCAGAGTGAACTTATTTGCTCACTTATTGTTTGTTGTCGACACGCACTTCCTCTGCGAGTTTCTCTTGTGTATACGGTGTAACACGATCATCCTCCAGCCAGGTGTGGAGCAAGCATGTGAAAAAAAGAGCAGCTTATGTAACTCATAACTGTACGGGGTGCACGTCCTCTCAGCCTCTGTGTACCAGGATTACAAAGATGTGAGAACTTGAAGCATCTTTAAATGCGCTTGATCGCAGTGGGAACGTTTGTTTCCATGCGAAGGGACCTGTTTGACTGACTCTGAACTCCACTTGCATTATTCTGTCCACAGCTCAGAGGTATTTCTAGGTGAAGCATGACCAGTCACATGAGGACGTTGCTAAGCTGCAGGGCAGAGCCTGTAACGAGTAACGGCACCCTCGATTAGAAGATCCCACAGTTTGCAGTTGAGGCTCGTTTGTTCCGTGCTGACATCACTTTTGTGCTGCCATTCATGAAACTCTGCTCTGATGACCATTTTACCACTCTTTAACGTCTTCCTGTTTGTAGAAAATCAGACTTCCTGTTGTAAACTGAGTTCACCAGGTGTTTTCACCTTCTTCTTGCCACAGAAGCAAAATGGGACGATTAACTCCAGCTTGTACAAGAAGCCCTACAAGGAGTCCTACGAGGAGACGCCTCTCCTGGTGGCCGTGCTCACCTACATGGGCTATGGCATCCTCACCATCTTCGGCTACCTCAGAGACTTCCTCCGCCACTGGAACATCGAGAAGTGCTACGTGGCTCGAGAGAGGGATGAGCAGAAGGTAGAGTGGTGTGTTCATGCATAAAGCTTCTAAAACACAGTGGCTGCTGTTGCATTTGAGGGAAGTAAAAAAAAAAAAAAGAATTATAGGTTAATGCATACATTAAAACGTACTTGAATCACTTTTTTACCGTTATTCAACTGATCACATTGTGGTTTTTCATTTTCTATTGCTAATACAACTTTTAAAAAGGACACGTTACAACATATGGACTGACCAGGAGCGCTGTGCTTTGACTCTTGGTTGCAGTACATTTCACAAATTAGTGCACTATTAGTGTTTAGCGTATTTCTTAGTTTATATCTTAGATTCTTATTACTGTTTCTTTTACAATTTATATTTTTGCTGTTGTTGGATGTAACTGGGACCCTGTGAACACAATTTTGTTCCACCTCATGTACCACATGTGATGCGAATGACAATGAAGAACCTTGAACAAAAACTAAAAAAGAAAATCCTCAGACAACAATAGGGTTTTGGCAAACAAGTAAGAAGTGTCAACCTTCTTTGGTGCCGTGCACTTCACAGTAGAAGCATCGTTCTAGATTGAAACGGGTCATAGACAGTTGGACTTCACATGACTGAACTGTAAGAGGAGAAAGCTTTTGGTTCTAACGTGTAAAAGTGTAACTTGCTATGCATCTACAGCGTTTGATGTTGGGGATTTGACGAGTTAAAACGATTCACCAGTTTCAGTTCTGTGAGTAAATTTTTGAGGTTGATGCAATGGAAGTCGATGAGAGTTGGTGTGCACACCCAGCACACCGCGGGTGATTCAGAGAAACTCTGTCCTTTAGAAATGAGACACCAGGTTATTGACAGAAGTGCCTATGGTTTGATGCCTAAACTGTATGACACATGTCAACTTTGTGCTTAAAAAAATGTTGATTTGCAGAAGTAAAGATAAAGTCTTAAAAGTCATGAAGTACACGTGTGTGTGTAAATGTCAGTTAGGGCTGGACGATGTGGGCAAAACTTTTGTCACAATATATTTCTTAACTTGGGTCGATAACGATAATTTGATATCGATATAAACAATGTGAAAGCCTCAGAAAAACTGTATAAACTGTACAAATAAATTCATGTTCTTCTTTTATTTGTATTTAGCCTTCAAAGAAATTTGAAATCACTGCCAAATGAATATAAAACTCTCAACTTTGTCTATTAATAGTTTTAACTTTAAACAACAATATAACCCATGCAGCAAACATCTGCTTCATGGGTTTCTACAGCTGGGGGTGTTTCAGGGACACGTTGGCTCAAACTTTTATTGAGCTTCATCTTCTGACTCAGCATATTCTGTCAGGTGGGACGAGTTCGATGTTCCCACCGCTAGTTGGAACGACTCTCCGTCATATTTTGCAGCACACTGACTGAAACCTGCTGTTTATCAGATCTTAGAAAGATGAACCACTTCCGACTAATGAGTCTTTCCTCTCATCAGTGATGTCATCTTTGTTCTCTTCGCTTGTGAAACCTTGTTCAGTCACATTCTGACGATCGTGGGAACTCATTTTGAAGTGAAAACTTAGCGCGTGTTGGAGATTAGCCTAGCCTGCTACCGCTAACGCCTTTTGGTCTCGAGCTCTGCGTAACATCTACGTCACCACGCACTGACGTAGTTGTTCGGGTTGAAACTGAAGCGCCGCTTCAACCTGAACAGAAAAAGAAATGTAATATCGAAATATCGAAAATGTGCTTAAAACTCATATCACCGTTCTTAAATAAAAGTATATCGCGACACATATCGATATTGAATTATTGTCCAGCTCTACTTGCAGTTGAGCATTTTTTAATGTGACTTACAGTTTTAGTTCAGTGACTGTTTGAGGCTTAATTTCTACTGTTTCTCTCTGCCTGTTTTATCGAGTGCTCTCAAGGAGTGGGACAAACGTGCGGTTACCATGGTGACCCTAATGAACCACTGGCAGCTGGCTTAACCTCTTTTTTGTCTTGTATCTTATTTTGCACTCCTTACATAGTTCATACGTCAATCTGTCAACATTTTATCAGCTTAGAACATTATAAAAGTAAATAAAATAAAAAAAGCATTTTAAAATAAAGTTGACATTTGTTCGCATTTCAGGCAGTAGCATCCTCAAACATTTCTTTAGAAAGCTCCTAACAGTGGTATTATTTGTACTTGTAGTAAGTTTTCTTATAAACATGTTCTTCTAAGTAGAACAGGGTTGGAGTTGCATTTTAGTCACATGAATCTGTTGATTGCACATTAAGCTGATTTGCACTTTCTATCTCATCCAGTTTATCTTTTGAAATCGTAAATACTGGCAGTTAAGTGGAACAAAAGATGATTACTTGTGTATGCTATCACAATGACATTTTAATGTTTTCTCTTTCTGCAGGATTTTGTCCCCCTCTATCAGGACTTTGAGAATTTTTACACCAGGAACCTGTATATGAGGATCCGAGATAACTGGAACCGGCCTATCTGCAGTGTCCCTGGTGCCAAGATGGACTTGGTAGAGAGAGTTACTTACAACTACAACTGGACGTTTGAGTAAGTTGTGACACTGTGCATGCAGTTTTTACATGCTCGTTCTGCGGTTGTTAACCACACCCTAAAGAAAGTGACAAAGCATTTCTGATGAGCCATGATTCAGACACTTGTCAGAATCATCTAAATGTGTCACATGGCCTTTACAAGTCAGAAATAAAACGAGACGTGGTTTGGCGTCATGTTCTTTATCTGTTTCAGGAGTTTATGAACATAATGTGACCGTACAATCGTAGCAGATATACAATCACGCATTCATGTGGTTTGATCATTTTTTCATTTCTTTGATAACCCCTGGATATCTCACCATATCACGGTTCACTTCTTGCAGCTTCCATGTATTGTGGGTTTTTAAAACTTGTTTTTTTTATATTGTGTACTGTACATTCACCTCATTATCAGCTTCATAGCCGAAGTGTTGAAGAGCATGAAGTGTTTATAAGAGAGTGGAACTGTCATGATTCACCACGCCCACCTGCTCCTCTGTGATCAACAGGATTCTTCTCACCTGGTGGTCATAACATTTAAGCGCTCACCTGTTCTCACTGACTCCCACCAGTCTTTTCAGAATAAAAGCTTATTGACTGCGCTCCGTGTCTTGTTGAAATTTCAGCTCCTCTGCTAAATTCATTACAGGGAAAGGTTAATAAGAGAGTGGTGAGGGTTTATAAATAGGGTTAATAGAAAAAAGGGTTAATAAATAAATAAAACGCTGCTACTTCGCAGATTATCACCTACCGTGGGGGGTCTCTGGAACGTAACCCCTGCGATAGGTGAGGGATCACTGTATATCTCCAGAAGTTCACAAAGTCCTGTAATAAAAGTTAAACCTGGGTAATACAAGTTTATTTTATTGACTTCTCGTAGAGCTGCTGAAATGAGTCACTTTTAAAAGAGGTGGGCAGAATTTATCAGTGTTTCTGTAAACGACTGATACCACTCTGCTTCATATCCTCTCTTGTTTATCACACTATGTGAAGTATGCAGTGAACTTCCTCTGTAAACTATTGTCTATTATCGCTGTAATGTTTGTGTTGGCAGGTGAAGCATTGATTTGATGTAATGAAAGAGGGAGTTAGGGCCCAACTATGCGCCCTTGTTTTCTATCTAACTTGTTTTTTTTCTCCTCAGACACACGGGGAAAGTGGTGAAGGGCGTCATCAACATGGGTTCATACAACTACCTCGGCTTCGCTGAGAACACTGGAGCTTGTTACGACGCTGCCGTCGAAGCTACGCATGCCTACGGAGTTGGAGTGGGAAGCACTCGCTGTGAGCTAGGTAAAGGTGGCACCTTTTCTTCAGATTGTTTTTTTTGTCAATCTTTCAATATTTAACAGATGGATAATGCAGTCTTTGAAGTTTAATATTTTGTTCACTGAATATTACAAAACACATTTATGTATTATATTCATGCTAATAAAGTGTACACACTAACCAGTTAAAAACAACTTATTAATCAGGCTACCTTAGCTTATATGCTAATTTAGCATTGAAGACTATTGAGAAGCTAACGTGATTAGCATAGTGTTTGTTACTGGAAATTTAAAAACGATTCAAATGTTTCAAAATCTACACGTAGTCGTGTCATGATGACTACCCATCACAGATTCTTCATGGTTCAGCAAAAAACAAGTGTTTAAAAACACGCAGCTTCACTTCAACTGGTTTTAACTACATGAAGCTACGGTAACTAGAGTTGCATTCACTCCCAAAAAATCCGACCCAGCCCGTAGCAATAAATTCTGAACCCCACCCGATGAATTAATAGTAATTACAGGTCCGAACCTGAAACCCCACCCCCAGACATTTTTAATTAAGCTTTGACTGCTTATAAAGTTATTAACGGTCGGTGGATGTGCGCGGCTGAGTAAAGGGGGCAGAAGATCGGAGTTGAGGTGTTTGTCCTTTCATGGCCGACACAGCGCATTAAATCCCTGCTTCTGCTGCATTCTGCATTATTCAGACATGGACCCTGCTCTGACATGTCAGATTTTTTTGGGATCTCACCTGTTTGGATCGTTGGCCGTGCACATCCGCTGAGTGCAGCTGAATCTTTTTTTTAAATTACACCACCACCTTCTAAAGGAAGATGTCTCATTTGTTTGAATGTCTTTCTTTACTTTAATCGAACTTAAAAAAATATAAATATATATTTTTACCTCATTCAAGGCCAGTTAGCGTGCGGTCAAACGGCCGCGTGCGGCAGGTCACGTATGGCAAGCCATGTTGCCATATAATTGGATTGTCAGCTGCGCGCGTCTGCTTATGCAATTAAAAAGCCCGACACCGGCCTGGCCCGTACATTAAGCACATTATCATGGCCCGGCCAGGTTCGGGTTAGAAATGGCAGCTCTAATGTGACTCAGATAGAACAAACAGCATCTTAAAGTGGCAGCACAGGTTAAAGGAAACGAAAAATGGATTTTACTACCTGCCCCTAATTAGCATGCAGTTTGAGTCTATAATTTATTACAATATTGTTTATAAAAAATGTGATGACTATATATAGTCCTTTTTATGAATTTAATAAAAGAAGTTATCTTACCAGCTGCTCTGCTTGTTCTTGTCAAACCAAACTCAAATTGCTGAGGACGACTGGATAAGTGTGATATAAATATTGTATCAATCGATTTCAAATGCACGTCCTTTTGAGCTCATCTGGTTTGGAGCAGTTCGAGTTTGACCAAAGCAAAGTCTTGTTTATTTTATGTGCACATTTTCCTTTTCGTCTAAAGCCAGGCTTGAGTTGGTCCTGTAGCTGAAGAGGATATTCTAAACTCATATTTTCTTTAGGGAGGCTGCGATTTAAAAAAGAATCCAGAGAAGTTGCTGTTGAACTCCCTGCTGTGATTGACTTGCAGGGAACCTGGACATTCACGAGGACTTGGAGCAGTTGGTCGCCAGGTTTCTGGGGGTTGAGTCAGCCATGGCCTTTGGAATGGGCTTTGCCACCAACTCCATGAACATTCCTGCTCTCACTGGAAAGGTGGGACCTTTTGTTCACTTCCTCTGTTTTGTTCTTCCCTCCTGAGCGTTGCGTAACTCTTCATTTGATCACTTCAAGTGTGTGCTTACCTTGAACTCGTGGAAAAAGTGAATTTGTTGCGATTGTTGTTGTGAGAGGCTTAGATGTGCGAGTGTACGATGTGAGCTGGAGAACACCTGATGGTGGGGAAACGATGTAAGTGAACAGAAAGCACAAAGATTTGAGTCACGGAGGTTCATAACCTCTCATGAATGTTCCCGCTCTGCTTATGACCTCATCATCATGGTACAAATGTTTTTTTTTGTGCAATAACCTCTTTGTTCTTCGGCCAGAAGAACTTGTGTAAACGGTGTGACTGGTCAGGTGAACGTGTGTGTGTTTTAAACATGTCAGTTGATGTGAATGCAATATTTCTGTAAAGTAAATGCACTGGAGGTGATCCCGCCTGCTGATGGTGAAAACAGTTCATTATGAAACTCTTGCTTTAGATTACACATGGCTTTTGTTGTAATCCTTGTTTTTTTTATTGTCTGGGTTATTCCGGTTCAGTTCTTTACACTCTTTAAATGGAAAGCCTAGCATTCCTTCAGGTAATGCATGTTGCCCACCTTCCTTCATGCCAGAGATTTAATTTATTAATCAGATTTAATCTTTAATCACGAGAAGAGATGGAGTTAGTGATCTGATCGGATTGTGTGTTGAGGAAGACTCTCAGCTACAAAACGCCAAGCTTCAGCCTAATATCTGCAAAACTGTCTTGAGTTATAGCCATGCTTGTGTTTTCTAAGTTTGATTAGCTATGGCAGCCATCTTGAATTGGATTAATTCCAAAATATATTGGGTTGTAAATATACATGCAATGATTACTTTCTGTGAGTTTCATTAAAATTGCATATGGTGTTTATGAGAAATTTTGCTAACAGACAAACCAACACAGACACAAGCAAAAACATAATCTTTTTTTTTTTTTTGCTTTCAGGATAAAAGCACATTTAAAATGTGATTTGGGTGCACGGTTTCAAAAGTGTCTATATTTGACTTTGTGATTTAAAAAAAAAAAAAAAAATTTTTTAACAATACAATAAAACCACTCATGCACAGTAGTTACTGCCCCGTGCACTTTGCTTAAACATTATAAAATCTGAACTCTATAAAATTCATAATCTTCTAGTGGGTTTAGAGCACGGGTAAGACGAAGACACTTCAGTGACTCTCAAAGAAAGGTGTGGCTGCAAATTTCTCCAAACAGAGACTTGATGTGAAATCCTGTTTTGTTTTGTTTTTTGCACAGAGCTCAAAAGGACAGATGTTCTTCTGTCTTCATGTGGAAACACATCTGTCTGCCTTAAAGCAGCAGCAGCAGCTCAGTTTGATCAGGACTTTGTTGTTTCCTGTTTTTTCTTCTTGCAGGGGTGTCTGATCTTAAGTGACGAGCTGAATCACGCGTCGCTGGTGCTAGGCGCTCGCCTGTCGGGCTCCACTATTCGAGTCTTCAGACACAACAGTGGGTGACGCATTTCAGAACTCCTTTATTAAGAGAATCAGAACTGTGGCTTTCAATGCACTCGAAGCATTTAGTAGCAATGTGCTCTTTGAACCTCCGTGACCCACTGTTCAAATTAGTTTCAGCAGTTTGTCTTTATTAAACACAGCCGGTCTCCCTTTATACGCCTTTACTTCCCTTCAAACTGTAATTTTTGTCTCTTGGAGGACGAGCTGCGCTGAAACATAATGCTTATCCAAACTACAGCAGCTTATTGAAATGGTTTCTGCGCTTTAACTAGCAGTTATAAAATATTTACATTCATTCATGAATAAAAAATATTTAAAAAAAACTCTCAGTAAATAAAGACGAAAAATGTATGTATGCAGATTAAACTCTGGTTTAGACGTGTTCTTTCTCTCCTGTTAAGTGTTTAAATGCTATAAGTGAGTTGTTGTTGTTTTTTGTCCTTGCAGATATGCAGAGTCTTGAGAAGCTGCTGAGAGATGCTATCGTGCACGGACAGCCCAGAACGCACAGGCCGTGGAAGAAAATCCTCATTGTTGTGGAGGGGATTTACAGGTAGGAGCAGCGGTCTGTGGGACTGTCCTGCACACGTGTGTGGAACGAAACTATGTACACAGGGTCCCAGTTACATCCAACAAAAATACAAATTGTGAAGAAAAACATAAGATCCCAATTATGAACGAAGAGTATACTACATTCACTAAACTAAGAATACACTAAGCACTAATGGTACAAAAACAATGCGCCAAAACAACAACAGCACGAACACGAGTCTGTGTGAGCAGATGAGGACGAATGAACACAGCAACATGAAGTAAATCAGCAGCATGAGATCAGCAGCACATCAACAACAAAGTGGCATTACAGTGATTTTTTTTTTTTTCTTCCTCGCAGTAATTTTAACAGTGATTTTCCTGGTTAGAGATTCTTGAGTCTTAACAGCCTCAGGGTAGAAACATGGGAGTCACGATGCAGCAGCACTAAAAGGAAGTCCTTTTCAGTGATTCCAGCTCATTGGAGTTCGGTGTGAGAACCTTTAAAAACCAGACTGACTGAAAACAAGTGATTCAAACAACAGGACCGGTCCACACTCTCTACGAATATTCACTATAATAATGTTTTCTTGTTTCCATCCTTGATTGTGCCAACTAATGAACATCTGGATGAGTGTGATGTTTTCTGATGGTAGTAACACCCCTTTCACTCTGGATAATGACCTCGTTGTACTCTTCTTAATCCATTAACACATAGAAAGTTTGAAAACATTCAGTGTAAAGGTTTCATAGGTTTTTAAGATGCTCTCCTGCATCCTTACTACACGCTATACTTCAGCAGAAGTTCCCTTGAAAGTCCCACTATTTCCAGCCACCATCACAGCGTGTCCCAGTACAATTTTCCTACTGCTTCAGGACGTAGATGACGTTTTGTCCAAAGCGATCAAGCCAGGACAGGTTAATGTTTCTAACTGAACCAATAATAATTGTGGTAACACTTTTCCTGCTTCCTCTTGCTGCACAACACACTGCAGTTTAAGGTAGTTTTACATCTTTTAAACACTTGTTGGGACAAGAAGATACATGCCATTTCTTGAGATGATCAATTTGCCTGTAGCTTTTAATTTCAGCCCAGAGCTGACCACTCGGATCAGATCTGCTTCATTTCTTGTCACAAGTTTGAAGTAACTCCTCGGTTTGAAACCAAAGTAATCGGCGACTTTGTTTTCTGTTTGGCCACAAACAACTGGTTTCCACAGTTGTTCAGAGGAACAAAAAAATCCCAGTCCGCTCCTCCCTTAAAAAATAAAATAAACTCTTAACGTCACATGCATGAATACATCATCAATCTCCAGTAGTTGTACTAATAAAGACCAGTGGAAAAGTTCCTGATTCATGCTCAATAATCCAGGTAGAAACTCCAACAAAGTTAAGTCGAGTCCTCTGGATGGTTTATTTTTGTTGAAACGTTTCGAAGAGGGGGTGCGGGGGAGAGGGCGGGCTACAGAAACCACCTGCGCACCATCAAACTGGTTGACCCACTATGTGAAGGTGCTATTTATAAGACTGAGTTTGTTGTGGCTCTTCGGACTGATGAAGTGTTTGAAACATTTCAACAAAATGAAACCGTCCAGAGGAACTGACTTGACTTTGTTGGACCGATGGGAAATGTTTAGCCCGTCACCCCCACCCTACTGTCCAAACTCAAAGTGCCGGGAAGGTCAGGGTCCAGCCCTGCGGCGTCATGGGTTATTAGGTGATGATGTACTGGCACTGACGTCTTCCCTGGCCACGGTGAATTGGAATAGAAACGTTTATTAATTTATTACAAATCCAATTAATTGCATATCATGGCCTGATTGGGGGGTGGGGGGGGGGGGTGCCTTTGCAGGGGCACGGTGCCCTGTTGAATAATGCTAGAGTCACTGAAGTCATATGAAAAACTACAATACATCTGAAAGAACCTGTCGGGTGCACTAATCCAGTATAATCTGGTTTGTCTCACTGAGGTTTCTGCAGCGAACTCCAACAGACCGTTATTGCTCTTGCACTTAAACTGTGCTAAGCAAAGGTCACCTTGCTGAAGTTCAGTTTAAATCTTTGGTGTCAGATTAAATACGTCTCCAACTTAATGATTCAATAGGAGTAAAATCAAGTGTTTGTATTTTGTTCAGGTTTGGTAATATTATTTCCGTTTGATTCCTTTGTTAAATTATAAAGTATGGAGGGGTCCATCGTCCGTCTGCCGGAGGTCGTAGCTCTGAAGAAGCGCTACAAGGCTTACCTGTACTTGGATGAAGCTCACAGTATCGGTGCCCTCGGGCCTAATGGGAAGGGAGTCGTGGACTACTTCGGCCTGGATCCCAACGACGTGGACATCATGATGGGAACGTTCACCAAGAGCTTCGGGGCTGCAGGCGGATACATCGGAGGCAAGAAGGTTGGTGACCTACTGATGGGGATAGATTTCTGGATCAGAGAGCAGAATATGAAACCTTTGAACCAGGAAAAGATGTTCTGAGTCCAATAAAAGAAGCACTTTCTCATCCTCAGGAGTCTGAGCAATTTCCCAGATCCTGCTCCGTCATTCAGTGTTGGGCAACACTGGTGACCAGTAATGGAAAACCCAGCTTCCTGTTTTCAGAGAGCAACTTTGTGCTCTTAATTTTTTGAGTGAAAGCAGAAGAGAACCAAAGCAAAACAGGAAATGAGAAACGTACAAATGCTCTTTTTGAGTTGATACATTGCGAGTAATGGAACACGTTATTACTCTGAAAATAACATAAAAAAACTCAACATATTTTAATCTGATTTATCCGTCAGGACCTGATCGACTACCTGCGCTGCCACTCCCACAGTGCCGTGTACGCCACCTCCATGCCCCCGCCTGTGGCTCAGCAGATCATTACTTCCATGAAGGTCATCATGGGAGAAGATGGGACCTCACTGGGTGGGTGTCAAAATATTAACGAGCCCTCTTTTCTTAGCAGAGTTTTCCTTGTTTTGTCCAATAATATTCTTTAATCCCAGTCCACCTGCTTGGATTCTCATGATCTATTTACTAAATGTTCTGTTTGTTTAGAGGCCGACACTATGCACAGACACTGGGGAGACCACTGTACAAGATAAATATAGTGTTAAAGATTTTTAATCAGATTTATTTTTTTTCTGTCACACATAATCCGTCTTTTATTCAACGTCAGGTGATTTTAAATTCAAGTTTTCAATTCGCTTTGTTTATATAGCGTCAAATCACAACAACGTTGTCTCAGGACACTGAACAGAAACATTCACACGCATCGGAAATCCAAGTCGTGAAGTTTATCCAAGGAAGCAGCAGACTCGTTGAATCTTCACTTCATCACACTCTCCCATCCTGAGCAAGCACAGTGGCAACAGTGGAAAGAAAAAACTCCTTTTTTAACAGGAAGAAACCTCCAGCACAACCAGGCTCAGAACGAGCAACTTATCTGCTTCGACCGGCTGTTTGAGAGGACAGGAAGGAGAGGCAAACACAGAGCGGCAGGTCCAGGTGTTGGTGCAGCTGCTGTTGTAAGAAAGACTAAAACATGTCGAGGATAGAAAAAAATTCAAAACAGGTGGAGTAGAGAGAGTAAAGACGGCAGCAGAGTGAAGTCCTCCAGAGTCTAAACCTGTAGAGCATAACTAAGGGACAGCTCAGGAAACCCAGGGCAACCCTAACTATAGGAGGTATCAAAGGAAAGACTTTATTTCAACCTTGATTCATACAGGTTAGTCTTGAGGACTCGTTTACAAGAGAAACCTGTTTTTAATAGAGAATGATGACAGCAGACGATCCTAAAAAGCATACAAATTGGAAAATAATAAATTAGATATATATATATATTTTTTTTTAAGGAACAGCTATAATGTAAAATACTAAAAACAGGAACATGTCTGCATTGGTTTTTACCATGAACTTAGCAGTTGTTTAAAGCCACTTAGAGAGGTCACGGTCGAGCGCTTCAGATCTTTTTGCAAAATGTTCCAGGAAACGGGAGTTGGTCTTAAGCCCAGTTCTTAAAACTGGACAATGTGTCAGCCTCATGGACAGAAACTGAAAGTTGGTTCCACAAGAGAGGAGCCTGATAACTGAAAGCTCTGCCTCCCGTTCTAATTTTGGACACTCTAGGAGCCACAAGTAAACCTGCAGTCTGAGAGCGAAGTGCTCTGTTGGGAAAATAGATCGATAGAATCAATAAAAATTGATGGCTGCAGTGTGCAATACCTTTGTTTGTTTGTTTTGTTTGTTTTGGGGGGTGGGGATTTTTTTCAGCAAAGGACTTGATGAACAAAAGTTCATTTTATGGACAAAATGAATATTTTGCTTCAAAACCGGTAATGAACCGGGGACTGGGGATTTAGCCACTTTTGTGACACCACAGCCTCTCCTTATCAGCTCAGCACGGCCGCTCAATCAAATGTCTTGTTTAGTGGTTCAGCTCAATAAGGTAATTTTTGCTGCAGCTATTTGACTTGGCCACAAGATGGCAGTACAGACCAGATTTTAGATTTAGGCGTGTTGCTGACTCTGCCTAATGAACTGCCAAATTTCTGATCATTTCAGCTCACAGTGTCTCCACCTTGTGTGCATGATGTGGCTCTGTGCTTCCAGTACACGTAGTTTCACTGTTGGCGAATGAAGTAAAACTTATAGTTGTGAAGCTTAAAATATCTAAAATGTTGTAATGTTGCACCTTTCAGTAAATTAATGAACCCAGTATTTCAATGTGTCAGATTTTAAGCTCTTCGTTCAAACGTGGGCAGGAGTGGACAGCTTCCACACTTTATCACTTTCACATGTGCACTCCTGTTTTTTTGTTTTTTTCTCGCAGTGTGCGCAAACGGCACGGACCAGAGACTGAACTCTGCTGGACTCCTCTGTGCACACAAACAAACGACACCGTCGTGTTGCTCTTTCAGAGAAGCGAGTCTTTCCAGAGTTTGATTGATTGGTGTTTCGCTGCGTCCGAGCCGTTTGGTTGATAGCTACAAGAAAAACAACTTGCGGGGTAACCTTTGGAGTGCAGCCTTTGTAGCGTGCCGTCGTCTCCTCATTTCCGAGAAGAGCGGGCCAGACTAGCTGACCTTGCAGCCGGGGATATTAGCCTGACAAGTTTCCCTTGTAGAAGAGTAACAGTGACAGTATGATTGGTTGCAGCCCGTTCGAGCCTTTGAAGAAGCAGATGCTGACACAAAGTCAAAGTGACAGTTGAGCTGCCTGTTAAGCGTTTGTTTTTCTTTTGTGTTGCTAAGGAAAGGACACCAGACATGCCTGACTCAAACTCAAAAGTATCAAAGCACTAAACGATGGAGACGCGAAAGGAACACCAAAAATCGTGCGAAAAGCAAAGCTCCTCTTGGCCACTGTGATTTAGTGGGTGCCAAGAATACCTGTGGATCTCTCCTCTGTGGAAACTATGTGTGGGTAAATATAATGCCGGGGTTTGTTGTGTCTCACGTTGCTTTGAAGCCGCGTTGTTCGGCCTCCCGTTTCCGTGCACAGATGTGTGCTGCTGTTGGAACTTTGCAGCTCGTAGTTATTTGTTTGGTTAAGATGCTATCTTGTGCTTTGACCGAGGATCCAGGGAGGGAATCCAGAGCGTGCATGAGACTGACATGTGACGACTGACGTCTGTTTAGTTTCAGCCCGTGTTGACCTTCAGCTAAAGGAATTCTCTTACTGTTTCAAGACTTTCCCCCAACAGGACACTGTAAAAGACACCATACTGTCTTTTGAGTTTGACTTTTTTAATGACGTGGCCTTGGACAGAGCTCCTTTTTTGATTTGGACACACTTTACTAAAAAAAGCAAACTCGTATAATGTGGAAAAAATCTTTTGAGTTTCATGTAGAATTAGCAACTAAAACACCTCTGTTTGTTGTTACTTTGACTTCTTCCAGCATAACGAGATTCCACTGGAATGTTGTATCACCGACCTCTATGCACTAATAGGAGTCATAAAAGTGTTGCTTGTTCCAGTCAAACAATTGCAGCATGGGCTTAAAGAAGACGCCATTTTTTTTCTAGAAGCTGACATCAATAAAAACTGGCTTTTTAAACAACGATGTCCGATGAAGGAGGCTAATGGCGTGGCCTTCGACAGAGCTCCTCTTGGATTCCCCTAACAGTTTTGACTTCTGTGTGCTAAAAAGCAGACTAAAGAGGAACCTTATTTATAGTCGGGGGTGGGGTTGGTGGGGACTCACTAATGCGCTCTTGTTACGATCTGGCTATTATTCTGTTTAAGTCAAGGTTTCCAATCTGCTACTTGTGCTGCTGCTTTGGAAAAACAAACATCAAAACATGCAGCTCGATCAGCAGTGAAACCTGATGACTTAAGAGCAATGCTCTGAACAACATGCTCACACAAATTGTGAGAAATGTCTACGTTCACAACTGTTGGATTTTGACAAAAGATATAAATATACTGTGTTTGAACCCGACTGATATGAAAAAATTGGCTATCGTCAATACCGATAATGTGAGGGGGAGGCTCATGCTGATAACCGATATAATGGCTGACTTTTTTTTTTTTTTTTTGCTTTGTCCACCCCCAAGAATCTACTGTAAGTAAACAGCAACTTTCAAACCTGTTTGAACACTTGAAGTATTGAAACGGTCTTCCTAACATCCGTTCACATTTTTTATCCTCTGCTATTCACCATAAATTTATCAAGTGTGTTACATAAATATAAATTAAACAAAAACACCTTCCCTGTTCATTGTGTAAACGGTCACGTACGGTGAAAGTCTTATTAGTATTGACCGCAGCAGAGTGTATTTTCTTTTCTTTGCAGAGAAGTAAAAATTTCAGACAAAAAGCATTTAATTGAAGACGACAAATATAAAGTTACTAACAGGTATATTTAACCTCTACATTAGATTTATTGTTCTGGATAAAGTTTTACAGGCAATAGCCTTTGTATGCTAGGTTATCTAAACGTTAGCTCGCTAACTTGAGAGGCACATAGTTGATGACAAGCAGCTTGGAGGATTGAAGATAATATATTATTGTTTTTTTGTTTTTTTACAGATCTGTTAAAATAAACTTGGCATGCTCTATTCATTAAAACACACTACACAGTATTTACAAACCAGATTCCAAAAAAGTTGGGACACTAAACAAATTGTGAATAAAAACTGAATGCAATGATGTGGAGGTGCCAACATTTAATATTTTATTCAGAATAGAACACAAATCACAGATCGAAAGTTTAATCTGAGTAAATGTAACATTTTAAAGGAAAAATATGTTGATTCAAAATTTCACAGTGTCAACAAATCCCAAAAACGTTTGGACAAGTAGCAATAAATGGCTGGAAAAAGGAAATTGAGCATATAACGAACAGCTGGAAGACCAATTAACACTAATTAGGTCAATTGACAACATGATTGGATATAAAAAGAGCTTCTCAGAGTGTCAGTGTCTCTCAGAAGCCAAGATGGTAAGAGGATCACCAATTCCACCATTGTTGCACAGAAATATAGTGCAGCAATACCAGAATGGTGTTACCCAGCGTAAAATAGCAAAGACTTTTAAGTTATCATCATGAACCGTGCATAACATCATCAAAAGATTCAGAGAATCTGGAACAATTGCTGTGCGGAAGGGTCGTAAAACTACTGGATGCTCGTGATCTCCGGGCCCTTAAACATCACTGCACCTCAAACAGGAATGCCACTGTCAAGGAAATAACAGCATAGGCTCAGGAATACTTCCAGAAAGCATTGTCAGTGAACACAATCCACCGTGCCATCTGCCGTTGCCAGCTGAAACTCTACAGTGCAAAGAGGAAGCCATTTCTAAGCAAGCTCCACAAGCTCAGACGTTTGCACTGGGCCAGGGGTCATTTAAAATGGAGTGTGGCAAAATGGAAGACTGTTCTGTGGTCAGATGAGTCACGATTTGAAGTTCTTTATGGAACACTGGGACGCCATGTCATCCGGACCAGAGAGGACAAGGATAGCCCAAGTTGTCATCAACTGTTCAGAAGCCTGCATCACTGATGGTATGGGGCTGCATGAGCGCTTGTGGCATGGGCAGCTTGCATGTCTGGAAAGGCACCATTAATGCAGAGAACTATGCTCAGGTTCTAGAACAACATATGCTCCCATCTAGACGTCATCTCTTTCAGGGAAGACCCTGCATTTTTCAACACGATAATGCCAGACCACATTCTGCAGCAATCACAACATCATGGCTACGTAGGAGAAGGATCCGGGTACTGAAATGGCCAGCCTGCAGTCCAGATCTTTCACCTATAGAGAACATTTGGCGCATCATAAAGAGGAAGGTGCGACAAAGAAGGCCCAAGCCGATTGAACAGTTAGAGGCCTGTATTAGACATGAATGGGAGAGCATTCCTATTTCTAAACTTGAGAAACTGGTCTCCTCTGTCCCCAGACGTCTGTTGAGTGTTGTAAGAAGAAGGGGGGATGCCACACAGTGGTAAAAATGAACTTGTCCCAACTTTTTTGGGATTTGTTGACGCCATGAAATTTGGAAACAACAGATTTTTCCCTTAAAATGATGCATTCTCTCAGTTTAAACTTTTGATCTGTGATTTGTGTTCTATTCTGAATAAAATATTAGATGTTGGCACGTCCACATCATTGCATTCAGTTTTTATTCACAATTTGTTTAGTGTCACAACTTTTTTGGAATCCGGTTTGTAGTTGTTCCCTGCTTTGGGGCAATGACTTGAACGTAGTCTTCATGCGTCCTCTGCTGGATACATTGTACAACTACAGCTGGTTCACAAGGATGAAAATTATATCGCGCATGATGGGACAATATCACAGATATGTCCACAAACTTCTATATTGGTCTAAAATAGCTGCCCTATCGATCTATCGGCCGGGCTCTAATTTGTTTCATGCTATCGTAATTAGTTTTATGCATTTTGATTTTTTTTGAAGGTTTAACCATCAAACATTCTACACAAATTTGAGTTTTCTAAAATTTCTTTTTTTTTTTTTTTCAAGTAAGCTCTTCCTTTTTCCACAAACTTTACATTTCTTACAGTTTGCACATCAAAATAGTCATTTTTGTTTTGTTTTTTCACACAGTGCGTCTCTTTTTCTAAAGGTCTTTGGTTTTCTCTGAAATTCCCCCAAACTCTCATTGATTTCCAATAAATGTGAGCTCTGAATTATTATATTCAAGACTTGGTGTATGGTCTAATCAGCTCATCATATTTCTCATATAAAACACCTCAGAGACGCAGTAATTGATTGGTGTGATGACTCGTAGTTTTTGCACCGTGACTCTTTATTCAAGTTATTTGTCATATGCAGCTTAACACAGGGCTAACAGTGCAATGAAATGCTTAGGATGAGAAGAACCGATTGGACTCGCTCAAAAATCAAAGCACAAACCAACAAGTAAATACAAAAAGCATGCGATAAGGCTACACAAAAAATAGTAGTGAAAAAGTAATAATTACAATGTTTGAGGCTTTGCTCCGCACGTTTCATGATGCGTGATTTTAAAGAGTGAGAGACACAGGTGTGTGGTTACCATGGTGACATGGATGCGCTACTGGCAGCAGCTTTAACATTTCATTGGAGCATGGACTTTTTCTACTTCTACAATTATACATCAACATTTTGTGAGCTTAGTTTCTTACAGAAATAAGTCCTAAAGTCTTATTGGGCTTTAGGGAAACAAGATGTGTGCTGGGCTTCTGAGCAGCAGCACTCTTTTAAAGTTGGTATTTTCTAATCTAAAAGAGGTCCTTTCTGTTTGTTTGTTTGTTTGTTTCCCAGGTGCTGATCGCCTCAAACAGCTCTCAGAAAACACTAAGTACTTCCGCAGAAAGCTTCGTGAAATGGGCTTCATCATCTACGGCAATGACGACTCGCCCGTCGCCCCCCTCATGCTCTACATGCCTGCCAAAATCGGGTACGAGATTTGTTTTGAACATCTGGTGAAACGAGCTCCTCCTGGAAGGACGTCGGAGCGCGTCCTTTAACTTTGTTTCCTAAGTTAAAGCGTATTTAACGTTCAAACCCATCAGGCGATGGACGGCGGGAGAGTTTGGATAACCTCTGGCTTTTCTGATTTCGTCTCTTGTCGTTTTCAGGGCTTTTGGCCGAGAGATGATGAAGAGGAACATTGGCACGGTGGTCGTCGGCTTCCCTGCAACGCCCATCATCGAGTCGAGAGCTCGTTTCTGCATCTCGGCCGCTCACACCCGAGAGATGCTCGACACTGTAAGTCATGTTTGCGTCATCGCTGGATCAAATTCAAGGGATGTTTCGACAGACTGGTGTCTGCCAGAAGGCTGCCTTTCATCCACCATTGAGTTTCTGAATGAAGGCTACCAGTCCGTTTTTAATAAAGCACCTAGAACATGGAGCTGTCTTGAAAGATTGCTGCACGCTGCCAGCTGCTCTGTTTCTTCATTTATCTTGGCGAGGAGCACGTCAGCACCATTTGTTATAGTCCGTTTAAAGAGCATCAGCCTGCTTTTGTAGAGCACACGGAGGAGACGCTCCCCCCCGTCTTTTCTCAAACTGGAATTAAAAAAAAAAAGAGAGAAAGGTAAATTGTTTCCAGGTGTCCTGCAGTGTGTTGCAATGCTGATACAGCCTCTGGTAGGAAAATGGTTCTGTTGAGGTTTTTTTTTTTTTCACCTCTTCATGTCAGAAATCTGCACTTGGTATTAACCGAAACAAATCAAGTCTCCTTGAATTCAGACGAACGTCACTCTCCTCGTTTCTGTTCCAGGCTCTGGAGGCCATCGGTGAAGTGGGCGACCTGCTGCAGCTGAAGTACTCCAGACGGGAGCAACCTGGTCCCTCCCTGGGATGGATGTCTGAGGAGAGCCTCCTTCAGGACTGATCACCTTCTTACCTCACTCTTCCTCTGCTTCCAGTTTTTAAATGCCTGATAATACCCGTTGTTTTTTTTGTTTTTGTTTGTTTTTGTCTTTATTTTCCAGTGAGCCAGTCTCACCACTTAGCTGCTTTGTCGTTTTATTTGAGATTCTCGTCCACTCACTCGTGCTCAGGCTGGCAGCTGATTCACTCGTACCCTGGCAGGATGTTTGTGTTGTTACAAACTGTTTCCAGGGCATTTACCCCGTTTCACTCGTCCTGCGTTTTATTTGTGCAATAATACCCCATATCCACAAAAGTAGTTGGCAAAAGCTCTGCTTTGAGTTTCTGCTGGGTGCACAGTCGAGGAAGAAAATGTAAATATTATTTATCACCACGTTTCACGTCGCCTTAGGGAAGCATCCCAAACCTTGAGGTCAGATGAGTTCTTCACGGGGCGAGCGCTCGCTCTGCATCTGCCCCATTAGTTCCTTCCCACTCACTTTTACTTGAACAGAGTATATAGATTATTGGGTTCTTTTCCAAACCAAAAGATGTATATGTACAGATATATTTTCTACCAGTTATTTTAAATGCGAAACAGATGTCCCCTTTATCCCAAATAATAAAAAGTATGTGTAACAGGTAAAGAATTCCAGGGAGCAAGACCGACAAATATTTTTTTACTGCTCATTTTCTAGAAACAGTTTCAGCCTAATTTTACTGTTTACACCTGCGTTTGAACGTTTTGAGCCTAGCGTCTTTAATATTTTTATAATTTAATGAGCTACATGTGCGATTACCCCCCTCCCCCGTCCCTTGCTCCTCACTGAAGTGCTTTTATGTAAATGGTTCTAACTTGGATCTGTATGGATGACGATGCTCCTCCCATCTGATTTTACAGATTGATTTATTTAAGATGTTTAGTTGTACTTGAGCTAGCTATATATTTTTAACAAACCGTTACCTGAACGGCAGCTCCACATGTGCTCTGGTAGAGTTTTCATGCGTCTCGATTTCAGTGCTGCACCACTGACGGGCTTTTTAAAGCTTAGATGACGTGGGCAGGAAGGTTAGCCGAACGATTTCAATAGAAACTTAGCACAAACTGTAAGAAAATCGGTGTTTGTTGGAAGAACGCTTCTTGGCAGTAAATGTTATACAGTTGGAAAGCTTGTTTGTTTCTCCGTAAATGGTGCCGTACTTGTGAGGAAAACAGTGGCAGAGTTGAGGATGTGCGTCGCACCAAAAAACAAATGTTTCCAAACATTTTATTTTGCAGAACAGCCGGTTCTACGGTCGACTCCTGTTCGGCGTTGTCGGATTAGATGGTTGAAATTCTAAAAACGAGACACACAGGCAGTTAGGCGGTTTGTTCATTGACCTGAGTGGCATGCGGAAGAACCATACACAGCCACATCAACAGCTTGTTCCCACTGCTGTGGGATGGCATCTAGTTCTTGTAAGTCAGTTCATGTGGTTGTGTTGGTCACTGTGACAAACTTCTGCCCAAGCTGATCCCGCAGGTGTTGAGGTCAGGACTGAGAGGCCGCTCCATCCTCTCCGCTCGTGTTTGGTGCCAGACGGTGGAGGTGCTGGATTGCCAGCGCCTGTGATACCAGAGTAGGCTGTTTGGAATTGGTGGAGGAGGTTTGAAAAGTTTTCTGTGGGCGCAAGGCATTCATTTTCCAAACAAATGTCACCATTTCTGGGGAAATAAATCGTGTGCGATTTATTGTAAAGAAGACGACAAATGAATCCACAAAACACAACTTTTCTTAGTTTTGTGTTTATATTCTTTAAATATATTTTTCTCATAACTGAAGGTGTGAAGATGACCTCCCATATCGACTGCTCTTTCTTATCGTTTGGCTCTTCCGTACGTCAGACGTGGGATTTGAGTGTTTTATGTTCTCATTAGTATTGTAAGCTTGAGGTCCGGCAATAGATTTGTTCAAATTCACAATGATGAAATAACCAAAAAGACAAACGGGAGCCATGTTTTGTTTTTGACTTTATGTTCTCTTTACTTGCGTTCAACCTGTGACACATTTCAACGTCTTTTATGATTTGGTAAATTGCTCTTGTAAGTATCAAATGTGGAAAACGTGACGGATCTGCATGCGTTCCTCAGGAAAATGCTCTGACAAAAGAATTTCTTCTCGTCAAAGTTTCCTCTCAAGCCGACTGCAGAAGCATGCGGTATGTTAAGTCCCAACATTTCTGCCCGTAGAAGCAAAAAAAAAAAAAGTAATTACAAACAGCAACGTGCCTGTTGTTCTCCGCCAGGTTTCCCCTTCATTGAAACTGCAGATTGATCTGGGGAGATTGTTCGATTGCAGCGTTTGCAGCTCTTTGGATCAAAGCTACAAACGCTGCATTCAGCTCCTGAGCTGCCACAGATCTGCTGCTTCCCCCTCTGCAGCCGTCATTTGAGTTGAAGATAAACCTCTTAAAGGAGTTTGTAAAGCCATAATGTTTGTTGGAAATATTGCCGCAAAGATTAAATCACTTGAATACGAGTTCACTTCTGGAGTTGGTTTCTTTATTTACCACAAACTGGAAGGAAATCTTTTAAAATGTCGACAAAGCCTTTGAAATGACGATGCACGGCAGAGATCACCAAAACTCTGCAAAATGATTTAGAAAAATATGAGTATTGAACTGAGAAAAGATTTCAACCTAATTAGGCTTTTAATCATTAACAGTTGTTTTGTAATTGTCTGTAAAGGAAAATGTTTGCACAATAGGATCAAGGTATTATATCCGTTAACTTTTATTAAGTCTAGTCGGCGCATAATTGACGGAAAGAAAATGTGTGAGGACTACGATCAAAACAGGAGAGCTAACGTTAGCTTAGCCCTTCAGCTGATGTGTGAAACGTCAATTTATGTGCAAAATAAAATGGACTACAAATAAACCACTGTTGGTGGTTTGTTTCGGTCAAAGCAATTTTTTTAATTTTTTTCAAAATTCAGAACAATCAAACCAAAGCTTTTACTTTTGGTCAGGAAAGAACGGAGGACTCATTCCATGAAAAGGTCCCGGAAGAAGCCGCCCCCCGGACATGAAGGGGCCCGCGGACCGTCAGTTGACCATCACAGATTGTCACTTCCACCTTGTCTAATCCTTGATCCTTGTCACAAACCTCCAGTGCCCCCCCAGCACAGCTGTGAGCGTCCCGCCCCCTCAGCATGGAGCCTCTGAACTTGTGCGTAAAACAGAAAAGAGGCGAGTTCACTGAAAGCGCTCGGCCGGGCGACAGAGGGGGTGAACTTCAGCTTGATAACGGATTAACGCAGGAAACGAATCACCGTTTAACATCCTGGTGTCCGCGTGCTGGGAGATACACGCGCACGCGGCGAGTGAGTCACACTTTGAAGTGAAGCTGAATGAGCGCGCGCTGGTGCGGACGGGAAGACTACGTGGGGGGATTTAACTTTCTGGTACTTATAGGGTCTCTCCAGCTGTGAAGGTTGAGCTCGTGCCAGCGAACGGACAGACGGATGCAGCGCGAGCCGCTTGGAGCAGACATGGAAAGCGCGCGCAGGAACTCCGGACGCCCGTGCGCATCTTCATCCTAAAAGCGACTGACGAACTTGAAGAAAACTTCTTTTGACCAGAGCTAAAGTTTGAGTGATACAGGAGGGGAGCACGAGCATCTGCGCCCGCAGGCTGACTTAAAAACAGCCAGAGAGAGAGAAAAAAAATACTTTTTAGTTTTTAGTTATTATTTTTTTGGTTCGTTTGTTTTTTGAAGGGACACATCAAAGAAGAGAAGATGCGTTCAGAGGTCGTCAGGAGATTTCAGATGCTGCTCGTGCTTTGCTCCATCAGTTTGGGAACAGGGTTTCCAACAAAAAGCAGGAATTTTGCTCATAAAGTAAGCTCTTTTTTTTTTTAAATAACTTTTGTTAAGAAATAGCCAGTTTGTTTCTAAGTTTGTTGAAACGCAACATAAGTTGGAAGTGATTTTAATGTTATTTACCACCTATTGCTTTATTTGTTTTCAGCTAGCTAAATGATCATTTTGTCTTGACGTTCTGCCCCTTTTCTCACAACAATAATATTTTAAATGGCCTACTTTAAGTTTTAGAACATCACAGAACATTTATGTGATATTAAAAACATTAACTTAATTTTAATAAAGACTGACAACAGTTATTGCCAACATAAGTAGCTCCAACAGGACAGTGGCAACAATATTAATATCTTAAAGCATTATTCAGGAGCTAGCATTGAATTAAAGGGATATTTCAGATATTTTAAGTAGGTTCTGTATAAAGGATATCTTTTTTTAAATAGTTGCAGCTCTTTGAACAACTGCAGTTTGTACACAAGGATTAATTCTGACTGGACTGACCAATGGTCCAGATGTGTCTATGATCTTTAAACAGCTCCAGTCTTTAAATTTTAAAGCACTTCATGCAAATGTTATTTTATAAACCTTTACCATGCAGTCATTTTTACATTACATAAATGTTTTAATGATCCTGCTAGAAGGGTACCAGCCTGCATGGAATATGCTACAGCTAGCAGCTACTGCCATTTGCACCACAATGTTTATTGTCAATAAGTGTCATATAAGTGGTGCAAATGTTTATAAAGTAATGTTTGCATTAAACCCTTTGAACATTTTGGAAATGGAGTTCTGGGAGGACAGCGGTCCACTTCTGTCTCAGCTGCTCTCAGATTATCCAAACCTCATCAGTCTTATCAGATGTAAACTCTGTTTCTCTAAACTGACGTCCTTCAAACAGCTGCCGCCAACAGGTAAGATATTAGTTGTTTGTAACTTCTTCACACTTCATTTGTTTGTACCATAACCAAAAAAAATATATATATCTCATGAATCATTGAACAAGTTTTTCAGAAAGTAATCACTGGATGTATTTCTACAAGTGATTAACTTTTGGAGTCAACAGAATCCAAGATGGCCGTCACAGCAAAGCATTCATGGCAAACACAAAAATTGCTGCAACTAAGGCAGTTTTACAAACCAATTTTAAACCTGATATGGTAGTTAGGGCAGCACAGTTGGTAGAACTCAGCGAGTAGGTCGCCGGTTCAAATCCCAGCTGGGGGCCTTTCTGAGTGGAGTTTGCATGTTCTCTCTGTGCATGTGTGGGTTTTCTTCGGGTACTCCGGTTTCCTCCCACAGACCAAAAACATGCATGTTAGACTGATTGGGAACTCTAAATTGTCCCTAGGTGTGAGTGAGTGAGTGAATTTTTTTTGTCTCTGTGTCCCTGTGATGGACTGGAGACCTGTCCAGGGTGTCCCCCACCTCTCGCTCAGTGATGGCTGGACATGGGCACCAGTGACCCCCACGACCTGAAAAGAAAGAAGCAGGTTAAGATAATGGATGGATGGTAGTAGCTCAGAGCTTTTCACAACATACTCTGAGAGACACACACTACACTGCCAAAAGTATTTGCTCACCCATCCAAATTATCTGACTCAGGTGTTCCAATCACTTCCATGGCCACAGGTGTATAAAATGAAGCACCTAGGCATGCAGACAGTATTTACCAACATATGTGAAAGAATGGGTCGCTCTCAGGAGTCAGTCGTGACATTTCCTCATTCATAAATATTCCACAGTCAACTGTCGGCTGTATTATAAGAAAATGGAAGTGTTTGGGAATGACAGCAACTCAGCCATGAAGTGGTAGGCTACGTAAACTGACGAAGCGGGGTCAGCAGATGCTGAAGAGCATAGTGCGAAGAGGTCGCTAACTTTCTGCAGAGTCCATCACTACAGACCTCCGAACTTCATGTGGCCTTCAGATTAGCTCAAGAGCAGTGCACAGAGAGCTTCATGGAATGGGTTTCCATGGTCGAGCAGCTGCATCCGAGCCATGCATCATCAAGTGCAATGCAAAGCGTTGGATGCAGTGGTGTAAAGCACACCGCCACTGGACTCTAGAGCAGTGGAGGAGCGTGCTCTGGAGTGACGAATCAGGCTTCTCCATCTGGCAATCTGATGGACGAGTCTGGGTTTGGCGGTTGCCAGAGTCCTGACCTCAACCCGACAAAACACCTTTGGGATGAATTGGAGTGGAGACTGAGAGCCAGGCCTTCTCGTCCAACATCAGTATGTGACCTCACAAATGCACTTCTGGAAGAATGGTCAAAAATCCCCATAAACACACTCCTAAACCTTGTGGACAGCCTTCCCAGAAGATATGAAGCTGTTCTAGCTGCAAAGGGTGGACCAACATCATATTAAACCCTATGGATTAGGAATGGGATGTCACTTAAGCTCATATGTGAGTCAAGGCAGGTGAGCGAATCCTTTTGGCAAGGCAGTGTATCACTATTTGCACAAGATCTCGCATAATGTTGTCTTTAAGGTTTGACCAAAATGGCTCCACCATTTCTAAGCACAAGATGATCGCAGGCTAAAATGCTGAAATTCCATAAAAAGTGGTGAGAGATGTGCAGCAATGATGATGATAGGACTTCAAGGGCCACTTGTGGCCCTCAAGCCATATTTTGCCAGTGTATGTCATATAGGCCACATTAGTTGTTTATATCCAGGGTTCTGAAATTATTTTAATTTTACCTGTTAAACGTAATTCAAAGAAGTTCCTTTAAACCTCTGAACATGTTCAGCTGCCAGCCTTTACTTTCAGACAATAATCCTGGTAACTCCCCTAAACGAATACATTTCCACATGAGCACAAGTTGCTGTTCTTTCCCCCAGCTCCGCTCCTCTCCATGTATAGTAACATTTGTGATGCCTGGGCACCCACCTTGCCGTCATAAATCCGAGCTCGGCATGCAGCTCCATACGCTGTGCCGTGTGTGGCGTTTCTAAGGGGATGTTTGGGTTACACACAGACATATTTGGAAATCAAAGTCTGTTTGTGCGTGTGTCAGATTTAGTCTTTGAACTTTCCGTCTTGTGTGGCCTCCCATAGATGCCCTGTTAGGACTTTCTCTCTCATCATCATCTGTCTGACTGATGTCAAAGTAATAAGAGACAGAGCAAACGGAGGGAAGAGGGGAAAAAAAAGTAGAAATCTCACTGCAGCTCATGTGTTCTTTCAGTTTGACGAGTGGATGACTGTACCTGTGCTTGGGACATGCTCAGTGTACGTCCATGTGGTGGGCGGGGCTTCTGCGCCCAATTTTAGCTCAATATCTGTAAGTGGCTGTTATAGCCATTTCTTGTTTTTTAAATTCTGCCAACTATGGTGGCCATCGATTGCTGGACATGGGCACCAGCGACCCCCGTGACCCAAAATGGAACAAACGGGTAAAGATAATGGATGGATGGATGGATGGTGGCCATCTTGAATCGGGGTGGCTCCAAGTGCTAATCAGTTTTAGATGTGATGACTGTGTGAGGGTCTCACTTCAGTTGACCTCATGGTTCTTGAGCGCTTTTGCTAACAGACACAATTACACCAATAGTTGTTGGCTTTGGAGTTGGTACGGATTCAGGTTAATCTGAATCACTCAGTTGAGTGATCTGGTTCACTTGAGTTACTAAGTCAGTCATGCTTCAACCCATTTCCTGGGATGCAGCTGTTTTTTCAACAAACCTGCTAACTCACAGACTTTGTCTGCCAGAGGACGTGTAGGACCAGGATTAATTAAGACTCATACTCACGAGTCCTGGTTCAGTGCAAGGATTTGAATCTTTAACCTTGTGTGAGTCCATAACTGACCAGCTCAAACTGGCACAGGTTTGATCAATTAATGCTTGAATGATGTGTTAGGAACAACTCTCAGCTACTTCTTCTTCTTTCGACTGCTCTCTGCGTTGGGGGTCGCCACAGCGAACTGTTGCACGAAGACTTGGGAATTGTTTTTATGCTGGTTGCCCTTCCTACCACAAATCACCGAGCTACCACAGCCCTCTGTGTGGAGAAGAGAGCTGCTATCTAGGGCGCCCGGAGGAGCAGATGGTGGGGGTTGAGGGCCTTGCTCAAGGGCCCCGAGTGGGGCAAATGAGGGTGCAGGCAGATGTGGATGCTTCACCTATCCCTAGGCCTGTCATGATAACAAATTTTGCTGGGCGATTAATTTCCTCAGAAATTATTGCGATAAACAATAAAATTGTTTGAAATTTGACAATAATTAGTAATTATTGTCAAATTTAAGAAGAAATGTTGGTTAATTTTATTTTGAGTGTAGTACCTTTTTGTGACCACTGGATGGCAGTATAAGACCGTTTGAACCGAACGATGGATAGTGAGGGAGCGAGCAGCGTGTCTCTTTAAGAAAAATGGGAGGGAGGCCCCGTGACGTGACATGGGCTGTCTCTTTTTCCTTTTTTCCGGTCCGCAAAATGGCAAACGCTCGGTGTAGTTTGAGCTCTTTAGCATAGCGTTTTTCACACAAAGCTTTTAATTAATTTTTTTTTTTTAAATCAGTAAACAAGTTCTCAGCTTCTTTTTACAGAGAAAAACAACTTTTTAGACGAAGGCACGAGTTTCAACCGTGAATTTTGGAGCTTTGACAAGACGGAGGTTTTTTTTTCCCTGAGGTCGGCCAGTTAGATTAGCTAGTATCTTAGCTTCTCAGCTTAGCTGCTTTTAACGATCCCAAAATGTGATTTTGGACGATTAAAACTAATTTTAAAGAGAAAGAGAGGGGTCAGTGAAGAGCACCGGAGTTGAGCCTTTTATCATCCAGTGTCTTCAGCAGAAAGAGAGACGAAGAAACGATAAAGTCGATAAATGAGGTTGATAATTTTAATTCGTCATGTGGTTAATTGATTTATTGTTTATTGCTACAGGCCTACGTTTCACACCCACATTTTTTATGTTGTTAGTAATGGGAGTTCAACCGACGATCTTCTGATCACTGCCCCACCCTCTCTAACCTCTGCACCACCACTCCCAACAACTCTCGGCTACTACCACGTGAAATTTGAACTCAATATTTGCAAAACTGTGAGTTCCATTTATGTTCTGTTTGATTAGTTAGGGTTGCTGCAGTGGCCATCTTGAATTGGGTTGGCTCCAAAAGTTTAGTTGTAGATGTACGTCAAGTGACTACTTTTTCAAAGTTCTGTTAAAAATTGTTTGGGGGTTCTTGAGATATTTTGCTGACAGACAGACAGACCAATGAAAGCACTCCGACACGGGTAAAAAAAAAATCACTGCCTGTATGTGGCGGGTGACTGAGCATCTCGCTCAGGTCAAGTGTCATTCATCTGCTTGTTTACGTTGGCTCTTTTCTGTGTTAATGTGGAATTTCCTGTTTTGGGGGGGTTAAACAACACCCCCCTTCAAAGTAGAGAAGGAGGATGGTCGAGCTGAAGTGGCCTCGTTCCCAAATAGTGTGACCTGTTTGCCCTATTTACTCTCTGCTTTGTACCCCATACCCCACCCCCGGCCCTCCAGCCTCACCCCAGTTCCCCTGAGTGTACATTTGTTGTCCCGTTTCTATTTGAAAAAGATGCCGATCAAAGAGCGTCCATGGTTTATTGTTCTTCTGTAATGGTTTGGAAACGGCCAAGTGCAGCGGCCTTTGATATCTGCGAGCACATAAATCAGGGCTGCCTCACTGCCTGCCTTCCCAGCCTCCCCACCAGTTTCACCTGATCTCATCCCTGCCCCTCACTTAAGCTCCACTCATCCAGACCTCCCCTTCCTAACCTGAAAGCGTGTCGTCGTCAGCAGTAGCGCCGACAGTAGCGTCAAAAGGGTCCAGTCTTCCAGTTTCATCTGAAAAGAAAAAAAGTTGCTCTGTAATTGGAGCTGCCAGTAATATCTGCAGTCTTCATGTCAGATCAGGGTCCCGTCTGCATCCTGGAAGCCTCTCTGTTTAACACACCGCATGCCATCACCAAGGAGCTCTTTGATCAGAGGAGCCCCTCTACCGAGAGAGGAGGAGAGCAGGAGGGGGAGGACGAAAGGAGGAGGAGGGTGATATACAGGGTGAAGGAATACGGGATCCAGATGTGAAACAACACGAGATGAGGAGGGTGTGAATGTGGTCTCCTTCAGCTTCTTTGTGCATGTGATGTTAGGATGGTGAGGGCCAGAGATGCACTTCACTCCTCCTATAGAAAAGATGATGCAAGATTTGTCCGTCATGCTCCAAGTATCACAAGAAAAAGCAACAAGTCTGCGATTTATTCTCACCGATTTTTATATTATTTCAATGTAACGATTGTGTCCTGTTAGGACAAGGTGTGAAGAGATCTTTTTTTGTAATGCCACTATCCTATCCTAATGGCTTGCTCCTTTTTCTATCTAAAAAATGTGTTCTGAAAATGTGCTGGCGAAGATTTTTTTTTTTATTATTCTGAAAATGATAAGAAGGCCGTGCTTACAGCAGCAGCTTCGTGCACTCCACCCATCTTTCGGATGGCTGTACGTACACATTCTCGTTGTATCTCGGTGCAATGGTAATAAAGCTTATTCTGATTCTGATCAATCGGTATCTTACCTGCAGTAGATAGTGCTTTGATCAACCCGAGTTTGTAGAAAAATAGTTTAATTCTAAGTGAGATAATAACAAATGTGGATTCCTGCTGTCTTGAAACAACTCTAATCTAAAAAAAAGATAGCTGTTCACATGAACTCAATGTAAAAACCTTTAAGTTGTCATCAGTATGTATTACTTTGTCATATAAAAAAAATTAAGTCCAAGTAGCAGCAGCAGCAACAAGCTGTAGCACTTCTGGTGCAGCCAGGAATATAAAATATATCCGTAATATATGTAATAATATCCAGTCAGAATTTAACTCGTGCTTTTTATAACATTTTGTGCAAGAAATGAAAGTGTTCACATAGTTGGGATTTGTGATTAATTAAAGTTTACTCACCCTAAGTCCTGAAGCTGAAAACCCTCTAAGGAAACATAGGCTTCAGGTGCAGAGACATGTGCTGTTGCTAACTCTTGTAGCCAGGGAGCTTTTATTTGTTCATTTTCTAATAGATTAATATGCTGGGAGATGCACGTACTCTTACGGGAAAGCTGAGCTCACCCGTGAGCTATATGAGGTGTTTCCAGTATATACTGGTAATCCTTTCAAAATAAACTACCATTTTAAAAATCAGTGCTTAATTTGAGCCGGAACAGGATCCGGGAACTCTTATTTTGACAGGGTGCGTTCCGGTTCCTGTTCGTTTGGATCCGGTAACTCTCAGGCTTACTAATAATAAAGTTGTGAACAAATACCTTGAACAAATAAAACTTATATTGGATATGTGAACTGAAAATAATTACATAAACACTCGTTTTAAACACAACAGCCACCTATGAGCATACGAGCTGCCCCTTCAAGTATATTTTCCGCTTCTACCCTTGAAAAAATCTCCGCCCCTAAAAGAGAGGTGGGGGGTGAGTTCTGAGATAGCCAGGCAGTCGTACGTGGGCAAGAGCTCACAGGCAGCTGCAGGCAGGCACCTGGAGGTTTCCCATGTGGAGTCGGACAACAGTGAGCAGGGACTTGGGCTCAGAACTGTCAAGTAAGTGTGGGGGGGGGGGTATGCTTGACAGAAGTGGAGTGTTTACAAATTTAGGTAGACGTAGATGTTTAACAACCCATAAAAATACACCAAAATGCAGGAAATCGCATCTACTTTATTCAAAATTTTGTGGGGGAGGACCCCCAGACCCCACCCCCTCCTCGATGGCCCACCTGCTATTTGCATTACGGTATTGATCAGTTTACAAATTAAGCCCTGTAAAAAAAAAAAAAAAAAAAAAAAAATGCGGGGATGTTCTGAGTTGTTTATCTTTTTGTTTTGTGCTCAGGAAGGGGTGGGCAGTAGCACCCCAACTAGAAAAGCACCGTGACAAAACAACTTTGCATGTCACACTCATCAAGTGCTACGGACAAGATCAAAAGAACATTTTCACTGAAAATAAAACTAATGTACACATTTTCTGCTAAAAGATGAAAACACCTGACGCATGCTCAAAACATCCCATAAGTGCTAATGTGTTGTACTTCTTTGAGGTTTTCTAGATTAGCATGTTGACATTGCAGCTGAAACCTGAAGTGATTTGGGACTTCGTTACTTTGGATTCATTGCCCTACACATCATGTTTGCTTGAAATCTTTCCAAACACTGTATTCAGTTACAAAGTCAAAGGCTGACTCCTATATTTGACCAACGATGTAAGCTTTTTAAGAGCCGTTCACAGGCAGTCCCTGAAATATACACCGTCTTCTACTGGCCATAATTGTAAATCATCTACTCACTGACCAAGAATTCAGACGGTTCTCTTTGGGCTTTCCGACTGCTACTGTTTTACTGAGCGCACCACAAAATGGTTCATTTTTTTATTATAAATTCTTATCCAATCATATGTAAAGGCCAATTTAGCACATGACGTAGCTGAATGGCAGACAAGTGTTCATTAGAGGGTGTGGATACGACTTCAAACAAGCGACATAGATGCGTGTCCTTTAAAGGCAGCTCAACAGAGTCAGACAAGCAAATAAATTAAATTCTTATTACCATTTTTTGAATACATCACCCATAGCTAACATTTGCAACCATTAATTAGTATTACTTTCAAGGCTTGACGTTCCCTCTTTGTCATCTTGTTTCTTTGTAACCGTAAAAATCAAAAAAGGTCACATGGAGCGGAGGCCCTTAATGACAGCAACAGAGCAGGTTCAGACACACTTGCATCCGCCCAGGGGTCCCACGCCTCCCAGGCCCTCTCATTAAAGCTAAAAGAGGATCTCTCTGGCACAGGATGCTCTTTGTCCACAGTCTGGATGCCATGACCACTGTGGGAAAAAAAAAAAGCAAAGAAAAATGAAACGAACAGTGGCTGATCTCTTGGATTGCTAGTTTGATGCCTCACAGCTTTGTGGAACTGCTGAGCAAGCTGTGAAGTGTCCCATTTTATTAGTTTCTTAATGGAGGCACAACACTGATTGTATTTCCCTTCAATAAACCACCAAGTTTAGCATATGTTGTACTGATCATCAGCTCTTAAACAGCCTGCAGCTTTCCACTCTTTATCGCCCACCGCTGAAGGCAAAAGGCAATAATGTCTTTGTCCATGTTTGTGTGTAAGTGTGTGCGTGTACTATGTGACTCGTATACCACTGGATGGCTTTTAATACAACTTTCATGAGGTAATCAGATAAATAGTGTTAAATTACTTTTTAAGTATATGAATGTTTCTGTTCAGTGCCCTGAGATGAGACTTTGGCGCTATATAAATAAACTGAATTGAATTGATCTTGGATGTTCTGTTAATCACTCTCTAACTTCTTATCGCAAGATGATCTTAATGTAAAACGCTGGTGAGAAAAGCAGCTGGTGATATGGATTCCTTCAAGAAATTCTTGGCGCTTAAACGTTTTAGGCTTTTTTAATATATTTAAAATGGTGTTTACTTTGTTTAGTCAGGACAGAATCTAACATTAAATGTTCGATTTATTTTTTTTTTCTTCACTATAACCCCTTGCAATCTAAATAAACTGTTCTTCTCCACCTGTATATATTTTTTTAGATTTATGGCCAGCCAGTTCATAATGGTGGAGTCCAACCTGATGCTGAGGCTTCAGAGCAGCAGAACCAGGTTCAGAGCCTTCTGCCTGAGCCGCACAGCCAGCAGAGGAGGTGGTCTCACCCCCAACAACGCTCCGTTGGTGTTCTTCCACAGCCTGAGCCAGAGGAGGAGACCAAACCCTTCATCTTCGACTTCAACAACTTTCCAGACCTGGCCAACGCGGACATGAACTCACAGAACCCCAACATACAGGTGATTTAGGTGGATGTCAAACTAGCAACCATGTGTATGTCATGATGCATCCATCAAAACATATTTTGATGTTTTTTTATTTAAACTTTATTTAAACAGGTAGTCTCGTTGAGTCATGAGGACTCCTTTTCAAGAGAGACCTGTTTTAAACAAACAACATGCAGCGTACAGACACAATAAAAAGCAACTAAAATAAAACAATAGTGTTATTAAAAACACTGTTACTGTTAGCAGCATGGTCCTGTTAGAAGAGTGGTTCTGTTAGCAACATGTTTCTGTTAGAAGAGTGGTTTTGTTAGCAGCTTGGTCCTGTTAGAAAAGTGGTTCTGTTAGTAGCATGGTCCCACTAGCAGTATGGTCCTGTTAGCAGCATGGCACTGTTAGCAGTGTGATACTGTTAGCAGTGAGGTTCCCTTAGCAGCATGGTTCTGTTAGCAGCATGGTACTGTTAGCAGAATGATACTGTTAGCAGTGAGGTTCCCTTAGCAGCATGGTTCTGTTAGCAGCATGGTACTGTTAGCAGAATGATACTGTTAGCAGTGAGGTTCTCTTAGCAGTATGGTCCTGTTAGCAGCATGATCCTGTTAGCTGTGTGGCCCTGCTAGCAGTGTGGTTCTGTTAGCAGCATGGTCCTATTAGAAAAGTGGTTCTGTTAGCAGCATGATACTGTTAGAAGAGTGGTTCTGTTAGCAGCATGGTTCTGTTAGAAGAGTGGTTCTGTTAGCAGCATGGTCCTGTTAGAAGAGT